CCATTAATCCTGATCCCTCATGTTAACCACAGACCCTAAAGTTAACTGTTCATCCTGTGAAGCAACCCGGAAAAGCCGCAGGCGGCAAGGACGGACATATTGACGCTTGGGCACAGAGTCCGACATGAGAACATGTTAGAAAGACCCATCTATACAGTTGTGACACACTTTTCTAGACAAAAAGTAAACGATAATTTAACTCAATAGGAAAAAAGTTTAACTTAAACAAGATTAGATCCTCATTTTATATTTAAGTTATTGTAATTTAGGATGACCTGAGTAAAATTATCCTGAATTCATGATTATTATAATCATTGTATTGTCCTAATTAACTGGAGGCACAAAGTACAGATTAAATCTTTTACCAGCTTTTAAAATCAAACTGCTGTTAAAAAGAGGTTTTGAGGAAAGGGGTTAAAGCTGTTTCACTTCTTTTTGAGGAAGCCAGATCAACACTGTTAGGATCTGTGTCTTGTCTCTGTCTCCCTCTTGAGTCTAATCTCTGTGTTCTCAATTTCATTCACCTCAGTTTCTGCTTCTCTGAAATCTTCCAGTCAGTTATTTTAGACCTGTCATCACTCTGTAATCACCCAGCTGTTGTATTTAACTGGTCTCTTGTCATTAATTCTTTATTTGGATGAATTATTTGGATGAATGACTTATTTGGGACAGTGTGCAATTAAAATATAATTTGATTGTATGATGAAATTTGTAAGATGAAATTTGTAAGATGAAATTTGCACCAGATTTAGCCTATAAGGCTAATTTTCATCTGTAGTCCCATCAAAATGTAAAACAACAACATCCAACAGTAAAATAGAAATAGTAGAGGAAAAAAAATAGACACAATAAAAATAAGTTCAAATAAAACATTTTGCAATTAAAAAATACATAAAACACCCCACCCCACTCTCCGAACATCAAATCATGCCCACCTTCCCCCCACTCTCCAACCCACAAAACCAGAAGCAGAATAAAAACAAAACAAAAAAACAAACAAAAGAGAAAATAACAGAAAAATGAAAACAATACAATATAAAACATTTTACAATCAACAATAAAAAATACATAAATACCCCACCCCACTCTCCAAACACAATTAAAAAGTTATATCACTAAACATTCAACAAAAACCCCGCAACCCCCCCAACCAAAAGCAAACTCTAAAATTGATTATCCAGTGCAATTCAGTGATTGCAACACTGAATAGATTTAAGATACTTTTAAAGACTATTTTTAAAACTAATAAAAGAACTACATTTTTTACATGATCAGGAGCAGCATTCCACTAAGCGATGGCTCTAACCGAAAAAGCTGCTTGACCAAAGGCTGAGTGCCGAGCAGGAACTTTACAGTTCTGCCTAAGTGATCTGGTTAAGTGCAAACAAACAACTGAACGATAATAAACAAATTTCTGCACGGAGATTGGTGCCAAACTGTTTAAAATTTTATAGACTGTTTCCTTATTTGAAAAAAACTGAAATTCTCAAAAGAAAGCAAATTATAATTCTGCACAATCTGACAATGATGATTAAGGGCTTGTTGTAAAATATTTTGAGGGCCTGTTTTTAACAAGACTAACAGGTTTTATTACTGACACATTAGCTTGTCCCCAACTTGAAATACAATATGAGATGTGTGAAAAAATAAGTGCGTGCATGAATATCTTGGCCGCTTCCAATGACAAACAAGATCTAACATGTCTAAAATTGACCAAGTTATATCTAACAGTTTGTGTCATTTTTTAATATGTTTCTTGTAGCGGAGGTTAGAATCCAAAAAAAAAAAAAAAA